TGGTTTCTATCAAGTTAATTGAAGTCACTAGTTCTTGACTTACTTGCATGATTCCACTCGAAGCAGGCAAATCCTGAAATTTAAAAAACTCCATCAATACATCCATTTAAAAACAAGAAATTGCATAGTGTTGCTTAATGTTTTCTGCAAATCCATAATATGATACCAGAAAAGACCCTAGATTGGTCAGTGTACTACTCATAAGCCATAACTTCAAAGCGAAACAATTTCACGATTTTTAATTAGATTTCCTTCACAAAGTTTTAAGTAATGAGGAAAGGGAATAAATGTGGATATCACTAAACTGTAACTGCAAATCATTTTATCAAGGTGTAGCATAGAAACTAAACCTTGAGCCTGGGATTGATAAGAATTACTGGTCGGTCCCCAGCAGCATCAGTCATAGCTCTTAGATCCTGTAAATTTAATAAAAGGGCTCTTATCACAACAGAAAGGTAGAAATAAAGCATGTCAAGTACAATTGTTCTCTCCAACTACAATAGTGGAACATTCAATCATCAAGATGCTTACATCGATAATACAATTCCCAACAGCATTTTGAGGAGCTACTAAGATAAACAGGTCATCTTGCTCATCAACCTCTTTGCCACCTGCACTTGACAAAAGAGAGACTAAGGGTATGGATATCATAATCATGTCCTGTAGAACATATTTGGAAAAAAGGTGAATTTTCATGTTAAGTGGAGCAACTAGCAGACAAGGACTGAATCTCCAATGCATCAATCATTGATTTGGAGAAGAGTTGTGTTAATGAGTTATACACATCATCACGAATTCATAATGGAAGGAGCATTATTCCAAATGTCTCAAGGCATTTGGAGGACCAATATCTAGAGATGCAGTAAAATGAACATCAACTGTCGAGCTGACAAATGCATGACATTTCTGTACCTATAGAACCAATATTGATAAACGTCCCCATAGCCTCATATTCACCCCAGTCCATGAACTCCAAGATTTTTCGAGTACCAGCAAGCTGTAATGGCATTCCAGCAAGAGCGCCTTCCCCCATAGAGCCTTGAACACAAACCTGACAAGCAAAATTTTGGATGACTCCTGGAAGAGCTTACATTATCATTGGCCACAAATCTAAATCAGTAGCAACCAGGACTAAATTACCTTGACATGTTTCCCATCATCGGCAAATGAAAGAGCAAGAGATCGAACAAGTTCCATTAAGGTACCTATTCGATAAACATCCTGTGCATCAAAGATATGGTTAACTCCAAACAGATTTAGGAATACTAAGGTAAATGTACCTTACCATTTCTGGGTTCAGCTCTGGAATATTAATCTCCACCTGCCAATTTTCAAAGACTGATTAAGATAAATAATAGAGTTATCGAAACGGAAGATGATAGTAAAATAAGACTGTAAATGATTTTGTGTAACATAGTGGATGATGTCTCCAGATTAACCAGACACCTAAGTCCTGACTGAAATAATTGTAATCCCCTGTTTACCAAGGTTATTTGATGTCAGTCAAGGGGTCTCAAGAACTACAGCATCTCGCCTGACAGTGCAGTAGCCAAAAAGAAATAAAATGCCCAAGAAAGAGATGATATGGTAAGGCTACGAGTTTGTCCACTGCTCCGAAACTATATTAGACGATATGTTCTAAGTTCTAAGTAGGAAGACAAATTTCGTCTTACTAAATTAAGAATAATTCCCTATGATAAATGGTTGAGAATGTACAGGAGCATCTCACAACCCAGCTTGAAAATAGGTTACAAAATCAACAGAGATTTGTATATGTAACAAGCACAGTTCACCTTGGTACTTGAAGTTGCCTTAACATGCCTTACCAGGCCCAATGGTTTATATCCATGATCACCTATGCATTATAATTTATAAGTAGAAATGACCAATAAGAAACCTTTAGTCGAGTTCTTCCATCATTTATTGCTCTTTGGGTGGCCTGCAGCACATCCTCATAGAAATATTTCCTGATGTCTCTAGAATGTGGAATGTTATTCAATTTAGTAGGAATTCCCCTCCAATTATCCTGTAAAATTGCAAAAGAAAAATTAGAAAGGAACTATAACAAATTATTTATCTGGATTAAAGATGACTGATTCTATAACTAAACTTATACCTGGACTGAAGTTGACTGATTTGATTTCCCTGGAAAATGGAAAATTCTTAAAATCATCATGCACAGTAATTTAGAAAACTCATTTAGGAACAAGTAACGTCACCAAAAATAGATTAAGACTCTCTTACAAAATCAATAGAGAAATAAGCTGCACACATTCTGAAAGAAACTCAGCTCCATATAAGTATTAATCACTTAAGTTAGGACAAACTCATATAATGAGCTTCAGGTCCTGAACAGACTTACCTAATTTCATCTTCATTTCTTTATCTTTCTGCACTTGTGACAGTATAGAGTCTATTACTTCAAAAACTACTTCCTTAGGATGGTTCCCATCGATCTGTGGTTTCAAGAGCTATAGTGTAAAATATGAAGTCCTCTACACAGATTCATATAAAGAAATCGGAAAAGGAAAAATGATAACACTATATCACTAAACACTCACCTTTTTCATTATGTGGGAGTAAGTGGTTGAGATTGCATCTGCATTTTGCTTGTATATTTCAAGGCGTGACTTCACCTAAATGGAAAACGGAATGAAGTCAAAAGCTTCTGAGGCCCTATTTGATGGAATTCACCTAATCTGAACTTAGTATATTATATATCCTTTCATACTAATACTATACACATCCTAATGGATTTTATCTGCTCCAAAGTATTGCCACATCACATATAAAGGAAGAATGGACAATATGTCAAGTTACATGTGCATATTAGAAAATCACTTACAAGTTACATATGTTTATGAGAAATCACTTTGAATACCAAAGTAGGACAGAAATTCATGATGTCAAACCATACCTTTTCCTCGGTGTCATCAGGACGGGTAATAAGTCTTGCTTTAATTTCCTCCGTCTCTGGAGGGAAACTTTTAAGATGGTAAATCTTCCCTGTAACTGGATCTAGCCTTCTTCCAATACATCTGTCGATTAGAATTTCATCAGGAACCTGAGTATTAAGAAATAACGACTATGTAAAGATCAATTCTGTTTGTACAAAGTTTGTATGGATGCAATTGAGATGACTAAGGGGAAAAACTTCTTAAAAATACACATGCATGAAACTACTTTTTAGCAAAGTTATAATTTCCTTCCCAAATGTCACTCACCAAAAGACACCCAACCGTATTTGTCAAAACTAAGACATTATGAGTTGGAATTAAATGAAACAGCTAACATACATCATAAGGAATTCAGTAGAAGTAGAAAGCTTCCATTATATACAAGACTCACATACATCTAATACAATGTAAACATCTGGTATTATCTTCAAACTTTGCAGGCTTTGTGCTTGGTTAAAACTTCGGGGGTAGCCATCTAGAAGCCACCCGCTTTCTTTTGCGTCTTCCCGTGATAATCGTGCTGTGACCATCTACAAAGCAAGTGTTTTCGATATGATTACCAACTATTTGATAAGGGAAACATACACCATGTAAGATTTTGAGTCATGAGTTGATAGAATACCGCAGTCACGACTTCATCAGGGACCAGACGGCCAGCATTCATGAACTCTTTGGCTTTGTTTCCAATTTCTGTCCCAGATGACACTTCAGCTCTTAGAAGGTCCCCCGTTGATACGTGTACCAATCCAAACTGAAGAACCAAGAGAAAGAAAGAACTCATCAGTCATAGAAAACGGGCTATCCATTCCAAACACACACAGCAGGCCCTTCTATATATAATCTTAACTCATAAACAATGAACAAGTAACTTATATCTATTAAAATGGTTACCTTGCGGACAATCAATTCACACTGAGTTCCTTTGCCTGATGCCGGTGCACCGGATATCATCACCTTCAGAGGCTCTTTTAAAGAACAGTTGAGTTTCAGTCCCTGTCAAAAACAGAACAGAAAGTGTACAATTAATATTCTTGTTTAATTATAAAACAAGAAGAAGAAATTGACATCAAGCACAAGGTTCATATCTGTTTTTCTTTTCTTTTCTTATACATTGGATTTGTAGGTAATCCTCAAATGGGCATTGCTGTAGAGTCGCAGAGAGCAGAGACGATGAGAAGATGGGTCAAGCGATACAGAGGAAGAAGAAAAAGAAGAAGAGGAAAAAGGAGAAAAAGGAAATAGCGAGGGAGAATATAAACTGGAGGAGTGAACTGGAGAAAGTGAGGTGGGCAACATTCTTCTGCTCTCACTGTGTATGAAAGAGAGAGAAAGAGGAGAGAGAGTTTTGGGTAGAAGTTTAAGCAATGGGGTAAAGGCAGGCCAACAAGTTTAAGCGGCTGATGCTAACGGAAAAACAGACACCACGAGTTATGTTTTCTCTATTGGAAAGGCTGTCTTTTTGGTGGCTTTTGACAGTTTTGTCCTGCTGGCCATTTATATGATAGGGGCCTCTCTCTCTCTTTTGGGGGGCAAGGCAAGGCAAGGCAAGGCAAGGCCTGTTCTATCTGCCTTGCGTTTTTGTTGAAGATCGAGGCTTTGTAACCGAGGGAAGCCCTCTCTTCAATTAGAAAGAACAGCTAGCTGTTGTTGGTATCTCTACAAAAAGTCTGAATTTTGGGGTCATCACTTCATTTTCTTCCATTTCAATTATGTTTAATCGGTTCTTATCAAATATCATTAAGCTACTAAAAATATAAAAAAAAATTCCTCATGTCGATTGATTCTTCCTACTCAAGCATTGGCTATAACTGGTTAGAACTTCAGTTGGTTTATCGTTGTATCTGTGTCCTCCATGGTTGAACATGTTTAAGGGAAAAATAGAAATTGCACTATGATGCAGCAACTTGGCCATGAGGGGTCCAGTACAGAGACATTGGTGCTCTAATTCATACGAATAGCCTGGCAGATATGCGCCCAGGGAAGAAAAATCAGACGCATGACACATAAACAAAACCACTAGAATGCCACAAAATGTAGAAATAATAATAATAAACAGCTTTTGCATTCTAAAAACCATACAAACCAATCGAGTACAGAATGATACGACTCTCCTATCCGCCAGAATGCAAATAAACTACGGTATCAAAGCTATAACCCATGATGTCCATCTATTAAAGAATTTAGCAAAACCAGACGAATTATTGTTATTACAATGAACAAAGTTCCCTAACACAACAAAATGAAAAAGTAACACATGAGAACATCTGTAGAGTTTGCATTCTTTCTTCCCTTAATGATATCATTCACTGCTACTCTTTAAAGTGCCAATCTTTGAGCCGCTAAAGTTCTTCAGTCCAGCTTCACTGAAGAGAACAGGTAGTGCACGAACCAGAATGACGAAAGGAATCCAACTGTGCCTGTCGCAAGCATGATGGCCACCACCATGAAGAGCGAGTACCCCAAGTAAAGCGTGGCTGAGACAGGTCCACTCAGGCTCTTAAGATCAAATACAAGGTAGTTTATGGAGTACAAGAAAATGTATATGGCAACCGAACCAGAAGCAAAGAAGGACTTCCACCACCATTTCCAGTCCTCCACACAAAGATGCATGTAGGTTAGAACTAGAGAAACCTCAGCACAAACCACAACAAGAAGGATCAATACGATGAAGAGAAACCCAAACACATAATAAACACGGCCCATCCAAATGCTAGACATGATAAAGAAGAGCTCAATGAATAGGGTGCCAAACGGAAGAGTGCCAGCCCCAAGAACCAACAGCCAGGATGGGTATTTCTGTGCCGGGATTTCTCTAGGAATCTGATTGGTTCGTACTGGGTACTCAATGTGAGGTGCCTTGGCCCCAAGGTATCCACCAATGAGGGTAAGGGGAACAGAGATGCAGAACCAGAGCAAAAGGAGAATAACAAATAGAGAAAATGGAATGGCTCCTGTGCTGTGACTACCCCACAATAGGAAATTCAGAGTGGTCAGAATCAAAAAGGCAATTCCAGGGAAGAAACAAGCAACCTTCCATGAGACTGAAACCCATCCCTTGTGATCTCCACAACCAATTGTCCTCCAAAGACGAACAGCAACATAACCAGCTGCAATACCAAGGATCATATAAAAAAATAGCATACCTGTAATAAGTGTCCCTCGAGAAGCTGGTGACATGAACCCAAGGGCAGCAAACAATATGGTCACCACTGCCATCCCGAGGATCTGAACCCCATCACCAACCATTATACACAACAGGGAAGCATTGCTTGGAGCACGGAAAACATCTCCAACAACAAGCTTCCAGCCAGACAACTCCTCATTCATCTGTGCTTGAGCCTCTTTGTCAAGCTCTTCATAACGAGTAAGATCCCTCCGAACAGTCCTCAAGAAGATCACAAGGACAATACCAGCAAGGAAAGTGATCACCATCAGAGAATTGAGAATAGAGAACCAATGGACTTTGGATCCCTCCATCTTCAAATAAGCATCCCACCGCGAGGGCCACTTGATGTCACTCTCCTCAAATTCAACCTCATATGTGAAGACAATTGGCTGCTTTTCATTAACGGGCATTGCCACAGTGGTGGGATCACATTTAATAGGAGCAGGGTACTTTTCATATATTTTCGACTTCTTCACAGAGTCTGCATTATGCATGAAACTGCAAGGTATCACCTCAAATCCTACAATAATATACCCGGGCACATCTGAATCTGATTTGGCAACTGTTGGGATGACCTCCGCCCCATCACCAGTACCCATCACACGTGCTACATTGGGTTCCTCGTACTTATGAACAAGTACTTTGAACTTCAAATGATTAAACACATAGTACACATCCTTAACCTTAATTCCTACTGGATACCCAGTCCACCGCAACACAAAGCCCTCCTTCTTGGTATACCGGATCGCAGGCAAATTATCGAGAATCAAATTGACCTGATACATCTCATCAATCCTCTTCTTCAAGAGATTAAACTGATCTCCCGACAATGGACCCGTGTGACACAAGAAGATCTCAGACTCATTGGTGTACATCTTAAACCGATATGGAGAGTTCTCAATGCGGTCTCCCATGAGGAGCTCACCGAGATTCTCAGCACTGTCCTTAACCCCATCTTGGGGCTGACAAAAGGGCAAACTGTAATAGCTAAAGGGTATTTCTGTATCAATGGAGGTCAGAGAGTTCACTTTCACCCCTAAGGTGTCCCCGACAACGTACTTGTGAGGGTAACTACCCGGAAGGTACCACCCATATCCCGATTGAAATATCAAGAAAATGGTCAGAACCCAGGTCCTAAGTCGATGAGAAAATTCCATTCTTCAAGGTTTATGTCAGATCTGGGAGACCCAGAAGAGAAAATGAGCAAAATTAAACCAAAATTTAGCAGTCTCTATATGGGTTTTCAAATTCAAGGAAGATTCGGTTACAAAATCTAATCAGACTATAACAGCCACTGCATTAGAGATCCAGCAATAACCATACAAATAGCAAAATAACTTGTTTTGTTTCTTTTTCTTTTTCTTTCAAATGAAGTGAGGATCTAACTGACCTTTAGCAGAGTGTCAGACATGGACAACCCAGAGAAGACGTCTCTGAGTGAAGCAGCAGAGATCTTCGAGCTCCGGAAATCTGCTGGGTTTGGGATTTTAGGAAGGAAAGGGCCAAATAGGAGTGAGGATTGGGGCGCAATGCAAATAGACAATCAATATATGGTTGGTCTTTCTTCGAGAGAGCGCCACCGTTTTGGCCTTTTTTCTGGATGGATCCTAAATGCCACAAAATGTCTGAAATGCCAGATCTGATCTCGCCTCAAGTCGCATTTGCTTGATTTACCATTTTCATTAATTCGTGTCCTTTTCCGAGAATTGCTATTTTGCCTAATTGCCTGCCTGGAGGCTGGATTAGACTTTTATTTATTTATTATTTAAGAACGTTGTTGTTAAGTCATTAACAAGGCGGTTAAAGAGTACATGAATAAAATAAAAGAAAAAAGCCATTTTCATAAATTTTGGGATGAAACAAAATTGTGGTTTTTCTTTTTCTTTTCGTATCATAAAAATTTCGTGAAGTTATTGATAAGCTTAATATTAGCACTACAACATATACAATCAAATCATCTTGAAGTATGCTATGGTCAGTCATCTACATATAAATATTAATAAAATTTAATAAGCTTTTGAAACTGCGCAATTTCTTTCTTTACATAACACTCATTGCACGTAAGTATATAACTTTTATTAGTCGCTATAATATTCATGATAGTATCTATTTCCCTATTATCATCATAATATGCTATAACATCCCCCTTATTATTATTATTTTTTGGTCTGAACCACGAGGTGGTTCTGGATGGGCCCCAACTATGGGTGGTACCTTTAAGCCTTAACCACAACCCAGACTAATCCCCGCTCACACCGGGTCGGCCCGTAAGAGGTAAAGTGTTGGCCAAAGTGGTGACTTCATACGATAGCAGGGATTGAACCCCTGATCTCTCTTAAGGAATGAGAGTGTCAAACCACTCACACCAACCACCTTGGTTTATAACATCCCCTTTTTACTCCTTAATCAAGCATGCTTTTTGACTAACTTTTATTGCTTCGGAATCAATTTGAAAAGATAAAAAAGCAAGATGCCAAACTTAGATTTCAATTAGAAGCTGAGGGGGAAAAATTCTAAAACAATCATGAAAATGTCAGGAAGTCACGGCGGAAAATCTTATTTAACCTATTTTTCTTCTCTTTTTTCCACAAGTCATATTGACTTCTTCAATCATTACTGTTACACGATATAAAATGCGTATCTCTGCCGTCGATCCATTGTTTAATTTTTAATTTTTTGAGACAGTGGATCAAATTATTTTTAATCTGGCAATATGGGAAGTAAAGACAAATAAGGCTCAAGATCGAACAATATAGTAAGTATATCTTAAATGATTCCAGTAATCACACATTAACATACGTGCTACTCACTACTCACTACTCACTAGTCGCAAATCCCTACCACGATTCACGACTATGATAACCCCCCAAGGATCGTTTAATAATTTCTCGTTGTTTAGTAGAAAATCTTATTGATTAGGGATAGCAAAACAATGATATCTCCATTACAAGTAAGTTTTTCTCTTTAAAAGGAGACTCGTGTTGTATTTGTGATTGAATCACCTTCCAATGTTTAACACAATCTTCCCTCACATTTTGTCAAAATAGAAAGCGGATGTTCTTCCATGACCATGTGTATATCTCAGAAGACAAGGCCATGTGAGAAAATCAGCCTTGAGGAAGACCTTTATTAACTTTGCTGCAAATCGCAACAAGGCTTCAAAGTCACGAATAAAGACAGAAAGAAACCGAGCACACGTTTTCTTTTCAATGACAAAAGTAGAACGTACAGACAGATCTATGGTGTGAGTAAAAGACAACTAATAAGTTAACATAATGGTAACACATGTATGTGCAGAATTAGCAGAACTACAAGGAAAAACGAAATTGAAATTGAAATTAAAATTAGCTTAGCAATTTCAGCAACACATAATATCTTAACTTGAGGCACCTAATCCCCTCGATTTTGGTAGCCTGACTGCAGCCAGAGGGTTGACGATGCCTTGTGAATCTTTCCCCAAACCCATGCCTTCAACAAAACCCATCTTTGCCATCATCTTTGATCCAAATCCTCTGGTATGTTTTTCAAAAGATCCAACTCCCTGAGGTTGAGAAACTCTTTGAGATTGAGCTTTGTGTTTCACTGGATTACTCTTTACTGGGGTTTTATTTACTCGAAGGTCAACGGTGTTGGAAAATTCCACACCCAACCCAAGTGATTTAGGCCGTTGGATCACTTCAATGGGCTCTGCCATACCTTGTCCATCTTTTCCTAATCCACCACCTTCAATAAATCCCATTTTAGCCAACATTTTTGATCCAAAACCCTTAGTGTGTACTTCAAACGAATGAAACTCAGCTGCTTCAGCACCCTTATTTTTAGAACTTGGGTCTATTGAATCAACAGTTGTGCTCTCAGTCGCTGATTGCATCACGCCACTTGACACAAATGATACCGGTTGATTGGCATATGAATCCATTTTTCCACCAAGTTTCTGTTCATAGGCTCTGCCACTGCCACGCTTGGCTGCGATCTTCGGTGTCTTTCTTTGAGTGTAATGTTTAGATTCTGGTGGCTTCAAATCAATTCCTTTTCCAATTTTCTTTGACCTGCTTTTGTCTCCACGGGGCTCAACAACAGAAAAATCAGCATCCTCCATGTCAGCTCCAATCAGCTGAAATACAGAAAATAATCACTCAATTTTGCTGCACATATATATATAGAGGCAACATATAATTATAACTATGAAATCTAATGAACCTTTTCAAGACGAAGTCTATCACTTGCTGATGGCATGCCTGTGTGTTGTGTCCGCATCACTGTTACAAATCTGGGAAAAGAAAAAACATCAATACCATGTTTTCCTTTTGTAGAAAACAAAAGGAAATTATGTACCTCTTCTTGCCAGATCCTTGGCAGGAACTCCTCAGGCGATAAATTGCTGCTAATCGTTGCACCTAAAATATCAAAAGCACTATCTATCAAAGAAAGACTTTGATGGACGCTCCTTCAAGGGATTTTTAAGCACACGCAAAAATGGCTACAGAACTTAGGTTAAACCCTAACTTTCATTTGTTATATTGCAGTCAAGAATCTGAGACATGGTAACAAAAATTTAGGCTTCAAGCTAACAAGAAATCTCTAAATTTCAATGCTTTGGAATGAGTTTTGTGTGTGTGTGTGTGTGTGTGTGTGTGTGTGTGTGTGAGAGAGAGAGAGAGAGATTAAACCAATTTCAATTTCAACAAAAGTAACAAAATTAAGCACCTCAAACAATGTTCCACTAAATAAAATTCCTATATGATCCATGCGAGCAAAAGTGCAAAAATTGAAACTGCAAGGATTTACAAATTGCAACTTAAAAGATAAATTAAAATAATGTACCTGGGCACAATCCCGGGAATGCATAGGTTGAAAAGAAAACATATCCACTCCATCCAAAACAATCTGCTCTATTTTCTACAATAGAAAAGAACAAAGCTGTTAGATAGTGTGTGGTTGCTAGAATGAATAACAAAAATGAAATAGAATCAAAATAAGAAAGGAACATAGAGAGTTAAAAGATCACCAAGGAATGTAATTGGTACTATCCAAGGTTCATTCCTGTTAACCAGACACTACCTAATCTCTTTCAGAGAGTCAAATGTTTAGAACCCGCATGGACAGCTCTATTTATATTCACAATCTAACTAAAACGCATTACACCATATATGCTAAATGAGTATACTAATCCGTACACAATTTCACTGAAAAAAAAATAAAAAATTTACCAAATTGATTTGCTCAAGATCAAGACCTCGCCGTAGCATTCTCTCCCTACGCTTCACAGCAATCATTTCTTTACGATGTTTCTTTTTCGTACCTGAATGGAAAGTTAGAACAATAAATAGTATGAGGCGAAAGCATGAAGGACAATCCACCAAAAAAATTACGATGTTTCTTTTTCGTTCCTGAACGCAAAGTTAGAACAATGAATAGTATGAGGTGAAAGCATGAAGGACAATCCTCAAAAAAATTACAATATCATAGAGGAATCCTGTCTCTGATGCACAAAAGGTCCTCAGATATTTATTACCCCAGGGTAGATGAGCAAATTTTCCCACACAGTCATTCAATGGAGATCCTAACTATCTACTTTTTATCAAATTCCATCTCAAAAAGGATACTAGGACTGCTAGAAATTATGGAATATAAGAGCAAACGTCAGAGACATATTAACTTGGCGCTCAAAGAGAGCCATATCACATCCCCTTCATGGAAAAGACGCATGTTAACCAAGTTAAATATATGAAAGCAAAACTTATAGAGATAAGCATATCTTAGCAATCTTATACCAGGAAAATGTCTTGAGAATTTACTCCTTTGAGCTTCTGAAGGCCAAGATTGAGGAAACCTAGCGACGGGCTTCTTTTTTGCAAAAACAGTTCTCGGATCCTTTACAAGCATTAGGTCATCTATAGCCAAAGACTTAGCATGTCTTTCTGTCACATTGTATTTCTTCTGTGAATGGACCTTCCTCCTACCATATTCTCTAGATGTATCCTGAAGAGCAATTCCGCCCAACTTCTGTAAAGTCTCATCAAATCCACTCTTCAAAGAGCTGTTCTTATCCGGATCATCCAATTCCTGTCCTACCAACCATTTGGAACTTAAAATGCTGTCACTCCCACCAATTCCCTCCAAATAATCTTCTGCAACCTCGTCATCTATATCTGAATCACTATCAGACGTGTCTTCAGAATCTTCACTTTCAGAGGATCCAAGTATTCCTCCTGGCTCAGAAGAGCCTGAGCTTCCTTCATACGGTGAGTCTCCATTTTCATCTTCTTCACTTTCTTCATCAGAAATATCTTGGGTGTATAATTTCATGCCTCCAATTGACAAAAATCCTGAGTTTTTCATAGGAGACATGTCTGTTGGCAGCTCTTCAGCCATCTCATCGCCAACTTCACAATCCATCCCTTCATTGACATCCATATCTTTCTCAGAAGACAACGAATCAAAACAGGAATCTTCTGGCTCTTCCATTTGCTTTGACGAAGCTTCAATACCACTTGCAGTTCCCTCAAGTTCATCATAGAACCCCAACCCTCTATGAGAGCTTTCACCTAACACAAAACTTGAACCGTATTGATATGTAAATTTCACTTCGTGGGGACTTGAAGCTACTGTCTGGTCCACATGAGCTAAAATTTGGGTATTCTTGAAATCAACTAAAACCAAAGGGCAGGACTCGTCCATACTTTTACCTACATCATTGCCCTCATGCAGTCCTGGATGCAAACCCTCCTGTTCACCATCAAAGCATATTGAAACCAAGTCCATTAACAAAATGAAAGACAGGAAAATCAGTTTCAATCTCATAATAGTCTCCCTCTAAACATAAATTTAGCTCGTTTGCTCTCTGACATTGCTGAGGTTGCATCCTGACAGCTAAAAATGTATTTAACAAGATAAACTGTAAAAGAAATGTTTAAAAGAAGAAGAAATAGGACACACCTGACGTTCAACGGAAGGGTACTGATATCCTATAGCATTAACATTAGATTTCCGAGACTCACTTTTAGAACCAGAAGCTACTTTTGCTCCCGATTTTGAGGCAGATGTGTTATTCAAACTCGGATTTTTCCCTGAAATTCAAAACCAAAACGAAATCCAAAACAGAAGCACAGAGGAAATCGAATCAGAACAAATGGGAAAATAGAAGCAATTACAAGTCCAATCTCTTAAATCCCTGTTTGGTCGCTCAGAAAAATTTAGGAAGCAACAAAAACGAATAAAAAAAAACTAAGAACTTTTTCCAATCTGGGACGGTAATATGAAATCAATTCTTACCCAGTTCATCAAAACAAACAAATTTTGGCTATCTGATGTAAGAATCTTCAGTTCAATATAGGTTAAATATGAATCAAAACTTTCATTTTCCATCTCACTTTCCTTTGTTTTTCCCGGGAATCAATTAGCAAAGTATGATCATTGATAGAGATAAAGGAAGGACCTCGAAGAGAGGTTTGAGGGGATGACCAATCAGATAAAACACCACCATTCACAAACAGAGCTCCTCGAGCATTGGATTTTGATGAAGATGACGACGATGTTCTTCTGCTGCTACAAGTTACTTTGTTGTTATCATTGGTGTTGGGTCTTCTTCTTCCTCTTCCTCCCGCCATAGCTGCGCGTTTTGCCTCTACAGAGAAACGGAAACTCAGACGATATATGATCAGTTGGAGCTTTGGATACACAGAGAAGGGTCTTCTGGATCTCGATGGTCGCAGGCAAAGCCCATGCGTGCGTCTCTATCTGGACCGTTGAGGAGATCAAACCAGTCGATGACTTGTAGAATCAAGCAGTAGAATATGCTTAATAGAAACCATGAGGCGTGCCAGAAAAATGGTCCAATCTTACCAGCAAGGCAAAAAGGTCCGAGCCCAAATTCAAGTGGGCCTGTACTGACTAATTCAATCTGCGAACTGTTCTTGGATTTAAAGGGCTGCAATCTTCTCCTGTACGTGTTGGCCCGAAGCAGTACTCGGCTTTTTCTTTACCCTTATTTTAAAAAATAAAAATAAAAACAAACACAACTGAAATTGAAGTATATTATTATTGTTTTTTTTTTTTCTCATATAAGTGATAATCTAAACAACTCTGATTTAATTAAATTTACAAAAAAAGGAGGCGGCACACTATCCGGCCGAACTGTAACTGTATTGTTATTTAGGCGTGTATCTCATCCGATCATGCTGCCATAATGGGCAGTGGACCATAGCCTAGCTGGATAGATACAAAGGCGTATATACGTAACACAAAGTTGGTAGTTGATTGATGATGAGGTGTAAAAGAAAAATGGGGTCTTCTCCTCCCTTTGATTTGATGATTAGTTGGTTATTATTAGTTTGTTAATACTTAATATTGTATGTTTAGGGTTGCTGGTTGTGGTTGCCAATTAATGGTGTAAAGACTAATGATGAGCAGAGGCAGTTGGAAGAAGAAAACCGATGAATTAAATAGACGTGAACTCCAAGTGGGGCATTACTAGATTCATATTGATATTGGTACTAGATATTTTTATAAATTTATTATTACACGATAGACGGCCCGAAAACCTCCCCTCTACAAATGCAATGTTTGCCAACTTTATTAACTACAAAGTTTTTTCACTAGGCTGAATGACTGACAGGTGGCAACTTCACTCTGCAATATCATTGTTCAATGTTGACTTTGCTAGCAACTGGGGTGTTTATTATGTCACATCTAATTTGTAGGCAGGACAGGCCCAATTACTCTAGAGGAGGCAGAAAAACTTGTATAAAATTGGGATAGTGATGTTTTTCTATTCTCGGTGGTTAATTATATTTTGTCATGTGAAAAAATTATTACATATTGTAATTGACCGAATATAACAAAATATTGCTATCCCAGTTTCTTATATGTGAACTTTATTAACTACAAAGTTTTTTCACTAGGCTGAATGACTGACAGGTGGCAACTTCACTCTGCAATATCATTGTTCAATGTTGACTTTGCTAGCAACTGGGGTGTTTATTATGTCACATCTAATTTGTAGGCAGGACAGGCCCAATTACTCTAGAGGAGGCAGAAAAACTTGTATAAAATTGGGATAGTGATGTTTTTCTATTCTCGGTGGTTAATTATATTTTGTCATGTGAAAAAATTATTACATATTGTAATTGACCGAATATAACAAAATATTGCTATCCCAGTTTCTTATATGTGTTTCTACTAAGGAGGGGCTCCCCATGGCTCTCTCACATGGGTTGCTTCCAATCTCACGTGATATGACAGAAACAATTCGTCCATATGTTGCCGCTGCTGCATGCTACTTGGTTTCTAGACTAGATCCGATCCCCAATTCTAGTGAAATTGTATTAATAATTAGATGAATATTAATATACATTACTGTCTATAATTAATGAAAGTTGGCTGGCTCCTAATCCCAACAAGCAAACGAAAACTCATTTTACAGTTTTGCATGCTACAACACTTGTTAGGTGTTGTTGGTTGAGAATCTGGAACGAAAGCAGGCACCAAAATGTTAAAATGCGTGAATATATCTGCTTTAATTCTTCACAAGCCACCATTTCATTTCTTCATTTTCAAGCTACATTAATATATCCTGAATTAATATTATGAGTTTTGTATTTGTTGGTAACTTGAGACCACTAATTTCTCTCCTAACTTTTGGTAGACACATGGACAAGTGCATGCCAAGCCTCGTGGACGTGTACCGAGTCTATTAACCGACCAAAACACACGGCTTCAACGCTTAATTTACTGCCGCATTGCCGATAAATTGTACATACATACATAGACAGCAAACCCAAAAGCTGACAACCAACTTTTGTCTTGGCACCGAAACCTTGTAGTTTTTCACTATATAACTACCAGACAGCCATATTCTATAAATGCCCACCTCTCTTCCTAATAACCCCTAAAAACTTCTTTTTTTTAGAGGGTGGTGCACAACATTATTGTTTTGCCATTGTGACCTGTTCCAAATCAAGACCACCGCATGGCCGCCACGGGAGCCGCCGCGGACGGGCTATTCCGGTGTGTTTACGAGGGGTGCATCGCAGGGTCTGATATAGGGGTGGAGCGGAGGCCTTACCACCGCAACTGCGGGTGCGCGCTACATAACAAGTCACGTAACAAACAATGTACGCACGGAGGGCCTAAGTGCAAGAAGGTGTCATATCCAATGAGGCGGGCTTGGAGCGAGGGCTCTTTGGCATTGGTGGCTGCTTCTTCTGCTCACTCCTCACCCTCTTCTTCACCTGCTCAGCATCATCATGTGGTGGCGGTGGGGAGGCAGCAGCAGCAGCATCCTCAATTGGGTACTTTGTGTGATGATGATCCGGAGGAGGAGGAAGAAGATGAGAATATTCTTTTCTTCAAGGTTTGATATGTACTAGTCTATATATGATGATGAGTACTAAATACTACTACTCTTTTGATCCTCGTTACAAATAAGTACATACACTCTGTTCTAATAACTATTGGAGCCCAGTTGACAGATTTCACAATCAAGTTTTGTAATTATGAACCTAATTTTTCAGTACTTTCTAGATTTTTGGTGGATCCTCCTCTTGTTCCTCGATCTCCATGATTCAAAACCAAAATTGGGGATTTGGGTGATGATATTCCATTGGAACCAGTGCCATGAACATATAAAAATGTAGACATGTATATGCCTGCCTCGGATCGGATGGGATCTTTGATCAGGTTTTTCTGGAGTTTCCTGGATCCAAGATTAAATTGCAGTGGAGTTAGGTAGCAGAAAGAAAAGAAAGGCTAGAGTAGTGGTCCAGTCCAGTCCAGGTTGTAAATCGTAATAATCAGCCTTTGAGTGTGTGTGTTTAGCAAATAATCAAATAAAAAGCCAATAAAATTATAGAATACAAATGGTGCAGCGACAGCCACACACGTATTCTTGGCTGGATGGCTCATTTGGCCGGCTACTACCATGTTCAATCAACGCGTTCCATTCCATCCATAACGACTTTTACCAAAAAGAAACAGAGGAAAATAAAAGGCAAACAGAAGAAATGAAATTGGCATCCATGTTCTGATGTCCATGTGTGGTCTCAATCACCCTGTCGTTTCAGAATTCGTTTTCAAAGTCTTCATTGAAGCTGCCTTGGTTGGTGGTGGTACGGTGGTACCACATGGAATGGAAGAGAGAGAGAGAGAGAGAGAAGGACAAAATGTCACATGACATAAAAACAATGAAAAAAAGAATGAACAATAATAATATACACAGCTTCTCCAATTGCAGGGGTCTTTGTAATAAACTGTCTGTGTGTACCAAGAAAATGGTACGTTGAAGATACAAACTAGAAATCAGGTGGTGCCAAATATAGTTCTTGGTTCCAAAGATCGGAGTCACAGGTGCTGCCAAAACAAAACTGAAACAAGTAGTGAGCAAAGGAAACATCATAGACAAAGGCGTCAAATACATGATCCAACATAGAAAGGTGGAGAACACAAAGACAAGGGAGAGGAGAGGACTATTTCATTTTGTTGACTGCAATGTAATCCCTAATTCATTACCATTACCAGCAAAATATATATTCATATTCAATTCCTGCATGTTTGGAATGCGAATGTTAATATAGGAGAGGATCTAATCTAAGTCCTTTTAAGTAAAGCCAAAAGGTGCTCATGGGAAGTACCAAATAGCCATGCCAATGCCATTTGTTTCTGCATCAAATTCAATATAAACAGCATGCTATTCACAGCCTCAGATGACAACAGAACAGAAACTAGAGGGAAAATGCAGGGACAATCCAACAACTTGTAAGAAAAAACAACAGATTATAACTATTGAATCCCCTGGAACACTTCATCTCAGTGACAGAAGAAAATTACAAATTATTTCCCACATGTTTATCTTGAAGTGATACGAATGAAGAGTCAACTTACGCAACATAGAAACTACAAAGTGGGCCAATTTCGATAACTAATGATATCTCTAGCCATGTTGGGGCTAAACTCAAATTTTCACCTTACAAAAGATAACTATTCATGTGTTGCCCAACTCAAACTGTTTTTTCCTCCAACCATACAGACTCACTGTAGCTTTATTAAATTGTTTAAGAATGATTAACCCTAATTTAACCAATTTGAAAACTCCAATTATAAAAAAGAGAGTCTAAATATCATGTAACATAATATGACATACATAAAAACTATCAACCATCAAATAATAGAAAGATGTAGACTTTGCTATAAATCAATGGAAAACTTGGGATGGGATGAATCTGCAACTGAAAGTTAATGGGAATTAGTTTGGGCTTGCCCAATTTCATGGGGCCCACTTTCTGTCATGATAATCTTTCCTTCGTGGGTGTTGTTTTTGGAGCCTAGGTCCTATTTTATCAGGGGATAGGAGATAGGTGGAAGAGGTTGTAACTGGGCCAGGCTAGGCTAGGCTAGGCTAGCCTGACTCAAATGTTATGGGCTTGAGCTGGGCCAAGTTAAGCTTTAAAAAGAAGAGACAAAATAATGGATCAGTTTGGGTTGGGATTTTTTAGATAATTCAAAGCCTAGGCCGGTTCCATGAGCTATGCCTGAGCAAACCCGTCAAGTCGAGCGGGGCCAAATGGGTCTTTTTATTAAAAAAAAATCTTTTAATTTATTTATGTATTTCTATGTTTATCACCCTTTTATTGTATTGTAGACTTTGTCGCAATTCTCACTGGACAATTTATTCCTATTCAAATACCAACACAATATATCAGAAACAAAAAACCCATTCATCTGAGCAATTTCCTGAATATCCTAATATTATAAGGAGGGTGTATTCAATTAGGATTTTAATA